TCACAAAACTTCATCATGGTGCCAAAGAGGGATTTCTTACCTGAAATAAGCGATGAGCCATGATGGCGCAGTGGTTAGAGGGCAGTACTGTAAGCTACTCCTGCTGACTGCTTGCTGCCTGCAATTTTGCAGTTCAAATCCCACCAGGTTCAAGGTGGACTCAGCCATCCATCTTTCCAAGGTGGGTCAAATGAGGACCCAGATTGTTGGGGGCAAGAGGCTGACTCTGTAAACCGCTTAGAGAGGGCTGTAAAGCACTGTGAAGTGGTATATAAGTCTAAGGGCTATAGCTGCTATCCTTCTTTCCTTCCTTCCTTCCTTCCTTTCTTCCTTCCTTTCTTCCTTCCTTTCTTCCTTCCTTCCTTCCCTCCCTCCTCCCTCCCTCCCTCCCTCCCTCCCCCTCCAGGTTAGAATGCAGTATTGCAGGCTAACTCTGCCCACTGCCAGCAGTTCGATCCTCACCGGCTCAAGATTGACATAGCCTTCCACCCTTCCGAGGTGGGTAAAATGGGGAGCCAGATTGTTGGGGGGCAAGAGGCTGACTCTGTACACTGCTTAGAGAGGGTTGTAAAGCAGTGTGAAGTGGTATATAAGTCTAAGTGCTAGTGGTATTGCTATAAAGGGGATGGCTTTGAACCATGCATCGTGGTTTCCCCAGTGAGTAGCCGTAAAAAGCCCTGACTAAACTCCATGCCCATCAGTCTTCCTTTCAAATATGTAAACCTTGCTCTCCCATCACCTGCTCCAACACTTAAAACCTTTCCCGGGCGTCTATTAAGAAAGAGGAATGCACCTGAGAAGAAAGACAGCTATGGATTCCTACGTTCCCTGGAGAGAGGGGGAAACCCTGGAAGAATTGACGCCATAAACTCTGTGAAAAGTCCGGGGAAGAGGTGGAAGGTTGGTTTTGGCAGGAGTTCACAGAAAGGTTGTGGAGATGCTTATCCACAGCCATAAAGAAGGCAACCAAGCCATTAATCAAGTGACCTGGTCCTTCTGGATGCAGGCAAGATTTAAGAAGACCCTAAGGCGTGAAGAATGAGCTTCCACGCACTTCTACTCCCAGGCTAGCAGGGACCCCACCAGAAAGAGGTCAGCCAAGGAATGGCAAGGATGTCACCGGTAGATGAACTACACCAGAGAAGTTTTACTCTCTCCCTTTTTTAAAAAAATAATCTACCTTTGCTTTTTCCTCTAGCTGTGGAACAGATCAGGGAAGCTTCTCAAGAGATTAACAGATTAACAGAGTTGGAAGGGACCTTGTAGGTCATCTAGTTCAACCCCCACTCAAGCAGGACTCTCTTCTTGAAAGTCTCCAGTGATGAAGCTCCCACAGCTTCTGTTCCATTTGTTAGTTGTTCTCACTGTCAGGAAATTCCACCTTATTTCTAGCTTGAATCAATCCATCAGAATAGAGCTAGAAGGGACCTTGTAGGTCATCTAGNGGAGGAGGAGGGAGGGGGAGAGGGAGGAAAGGAAAAAGGAGAAGTAGAGGGAGAAAAGAGGGAGGGGAGAGGGGGGAGAAGGAGAAGGAGAGGAAGAAGACTTCTCTCCCTGATGTATCCCTGCTGCCTCAACCTGCCTTCTTCAACCTACCCAGGATTTCTTGGAAAGTCTGCCACTAATGTCTGTTTGATTCTGGTTTGCATCTCTACACCCCCACCCCCACGCGCCCCCCTCCCCGCAAAGTTTTATTAGCAACAGTAGCCTGGACTGGCACTTGATCTTCTCCTTCCTTCCTTGAAGCTCCCCGCAAATCCATCAGATCTTCCCAGTGTCATCACATTGTCACCCCGTGATCTAACCATCCTATTTCCTCCCCTCCATCCTCGCTGCCTTATAGCTTCGTCTAGACACAAATGACAAAATCCCCGTGATTTGCAGAGATGGGCAACAGGGCTTCCAAACAGCAGAGAAGAGAGAGACCCAGACGGAGGGAGGGAAGCGCTGAAAATCCCTATGAACCAGCAAGCTCATTATTGGCATTTGGGCAATTAAGGAGAAAGAAACTGGCATTTTTTTCTCTCTCTCTTCAGGCAAAGGCTCTGGATGAGAGAGCTTGGAGAGAGTGATTTGTGGGGTGAGAGTGCTGTAGGGCAGTCACACATGAGTGGGGAAAGAGGGAAAAACTGAAGGCCGCCAGAACAAAGTCTGCCCATCAAAGCAGAACAGAAGGCCGATGGTAAATCAGGATCCTCGTGATGGTTTCTTGAGTGCATGATCTGTTAGAGCAGATGCTTCAGAAGGTGGCCCTCCCCGCTGAACATTTCTGGAGTGGTTCTTTTTCTCTGTTCTTCCCCTGCCACCAAAGAGGGCTCCTTCCTTTCTTCCTTCTTCCTTCCTTCCTTCCTTCCTTCTTTCATTCCCTCCCTCCCTACCCCTTCCTTCCTTTCCTCCCTCCNCACACCCACAGAGTAGGTTCAAACAATTTTTGAAACCCACCACTGGTCCTTTCCCATAATGCAGTGTCTGCCCCACTTGATAGACCAGGATGATTAGAGTTGTTGTTGCCCTTTTTGCCCACCACTGTCTTAAATAGACACACGAAAGTAGCACAGACTCGATACAGGCAGGAGGAGGGATGAGTTAGCTTCCCTTGACGCTGGAGATGGAGGGTCAGAGAGCACTGCTACTACACAGTGTGGTGGGACTTAAAATGTGGACGTTTTGATTTTAAACCCCGAGGGCATTTCCCGTGGCTTCTGCACCTTCTGCAAACTGGGCCGTGTTACAAATGTGGAGCTGGGAGGCCTGCAGTGAATCTTTCCATTCCGGTG